ACAGACAGATGAGAAGGGACGGATCGAGGGGGATCGGGACGGAGGACCGGGGCAGGGATGGGACGATGGAGGGCTGGATGGAAGGAGAACACAGATGGAAGGCTGGACAGATGTCGAGAGATGGATCGGGGGGAGTGAGGATGGATGGGGGGAGCCCAGAGACTTGGCTGCACTAATCCCCCCGCTTCCCCCCACACTCACCGAGGGGCCGCGCTCGCCCCGGGGCCCCGGCTTCCCGGACAGACCCTGCAACAGAGAGAGTCAGTGAGACACAGTCAGGGCATGGGCACCCGTGGGAGAACTCCTCTGCCAGCCAGGGCCCAGCAGGGACCCATAATGTACCCACCCATGGGAGACACACAGGGACCCCCCACGTCCCACCCAGCCCACACAGGGACCCCTCAGCCAGTCAGGGCCCGGCAGGGACCCCTAACACCCACCCCTGGAACCCGCCACCCAGAACCAACCCCCCTCCCAGCCCCCATTAACCCCCCCCCATCCATGGCTCTGCAGGGTCCCCCAACCCCACAGAACCTGCACAGGGATCCCCCAATCCAGGGCTCTACAGAGACCCCACCCATAGGACACCCCCAAGGACACCCTATTCGCAGCTCTATAGGGACCCCCAACTCCAACCCCTATGGGGACCCCACCCCACCCAGGGCTTTGCAGACACCCCCACCTAGAACCATCCCCCATCCAGCCTGTCCCCGGAAGACCCTCCCCCACACCCCAACAGCCTCTCACTCTTCACCCAGCCCCACCAGTAAGTCCCAGTTCCAATCCATCCCTGCGGGGGGTGTCAGCCCTCCCCCAGCAGGACCTGCAGCCCCCTCCCCCAGGTCCCCCCAACAGTTTCCCACATGGGGATGCCTCCTGCGGAGGGAAACATGGACCCCACTCCACCGGGGGGCAGTGGGGGGAGCCGTGCTGGGGGTGGGGGGAGCCATGCCGGGGGGGTGATGGAGGGTTACTCACCCGAGCACCCTTCTCACCATTGGTGCCAGGGAATCCGGGGAAGCCCTGAGATCCCTGTGGAGAGAGAAGAGATGCAGGTTAAGGGGGGTGATGGGGGGCAGAGGGGGGGCAGAGGGGATAGACCCACCGTCCACAGTGCTCACCTTCGGGCCTTGCCGTCCTGGGTATCCGGGAAGACCTGGTACGCCCAGCTTCCCCTGCGAGAGAGAGAGAGAGAGAGATGAGACTAGGGGGACGGGGCACGAGGCCTTTCCCCTTTAGTGGGCGCCGACTCTGATCCAGCCCCAGGGTGGGGGGCTGGCTGTTCAAGGGGGCAGGGAATGGGGCACGGGGCCTTTCCCCTCTAGTGGGTGCCAGCTCCCATCTGGCCCCAGGGTGGGGGGCTGGCTGTTCAGGGGGGCAGGGAACAGGCACATGGGCAGGGGTCCACGCCCTCATGCTCGGCACTGCCCAGTCCTGCCCCATGCTGCCCCGGCTCCTCACCTTCTCTCCCACCAGTCCGAGGGGACCCGGGTCGCCCGAGGGTCCGGTCCGGCCTTTGGGACCTTCCGGTCCATCCTCTCCTCTGGATCCTGGGACACCCACCTCGCCCTGCGGGGGCAGAGAGAACAGGGGTGGGTGAGACTGGCATCGCCAGGAGCAGGCAGGCAGCGAGGGGCGGGGGGCTCCGGGCACAAACTTACCCTGTCTCCTTTCACCCCGAAGTCGCCCTTGAATCCGGGGAATCCGTCCTCACCCTGCAGAGACAGACAGACAGACAGACCGGTGACAGTCAGACAGCCAGAGAGGAAAGGCCAGAAGGAACCAGCAGCTCAGCCAGTCCGACCTCCTGTATGTCACAGGCCACAAGCCTCCCCCCAGCCCCCACTCACTAACCCAGCCCCCGCAATGAGACCGAAGTGCCACAGCCCCCAGGAGACTGGGCTGTTACCTGCCACAGGCTGAGATCGGGGGAGCTGAGGGGCACCAGAGCCCGAGGCTCTGCAATGGCAGGGAAAGGGTTAAGTGAGAGACACACACCCCCCCCAGATAATCCTGGCCAGTGACCCGCCCCCAGGCTGCAGGGGAAGGTGAGAACCCCCAAGTCACTGCCAGACTGAGGGGGGGCGGAATTCCCCCCGACCCCCCCATGGCGATCAGCTACACCCTGCACATGGGTGCAAGGACCAGCCAGCCACGCCCATGGGTGAGATAATGCTGGGTGCCCCCTCAGCGCCCCCCCCCCCCGCCTTCCAGGTTCCATCTCTAGCCAGGGGCGGCCCTGACACTGCAGGGGGAGGAGAGTTAAAACAAAAAACTCAGAATACACTGGGAGGGGGGGGGGGAATCCCTTCCTGACCCCTGGTCAGGGGTCCACAGCTAGGGGGCGCCGTGCACTATTCCCCCAGCCTCGCACTAGGGGGTGCTGTGCACTATTCCCCCAGCCTGGCACTAGGGGGCGCTGTGCACCATTCCCCCAGCCTGGCACTAAGGGGCATGTGCACCATTTCCCCTGCATGGCACCAAGTGGGGCGCTGTGCGTCATTCCCCCAGCACGGCACTAGGGCGTGCAGTGCACTATTCCCCCAGCCGGGCACTAGGGGGCACTGTGCGCTATTCCCCCAGCATGGCACTAGAGCGTGCCATGCACTATTCCCCCAGCCTGGAACTAGGGGGCTCTGTGTGCCATTCCCCCAACCTGGCACTAGGGGGCGCTGTGCGCCATTCCCCCAGCATGGCACTAGGGCGTGCCATGCACCAGTTCCCCAGCCGGGCACTAGGGGGCGCTGTGCGGTGCTGCCAGCATCATGTCTGACCTGCGGTTGAGGGTCGGGGAAGCAGAACTCACCTTCTCACCCTTGTGACCCTTCAGCCCCCGAATTCCATCCACGCCCTGGGAGAGACAGGGAGAGTTCAACAGGGTAAGCTGCACTGCAGAGACCACCCACAGATCTAGGCAGAGAACCCAGGAGTCCTGTCTCCCAGCCGCCCACCCCCGCTCTAATCCACAAGCCCCCCCTCCCCTCCCAGCGCCGGGATAGAACCCAGGAGTCCTGGCTCCCAGCCCCCCCTGCTCTAACCCACTAGCCCCCACTCCCCTTCCAGAGCCGGGGAGAGAACCCAGGAGTCCTGGCTCCCAGCTCTCACCGCTCCCTGCTCTAATCCTCGGACCCTACTCCCCTTCCAGAGCCGGGATAGAACCCAGGAGTCCTGGCTCCCAGCCCCCCCTGCTCTAATCCACTAGCCCCCACTCCCCTTCCAGAGCCGGGGAGAGAACCCAGGAGTCCTGGATCCCATTGGCTACAGTCCTCTTGTCTTGTTTTCCACTCTAGCCAGAATCCTCTTCTCCCCTTGAGGGGCAGGGACCTCCTGGCTTCTGTACCTTCACCCATCCTTACTAAGAATTGTGGGTAATATCCCAGTCCCAAAGAGTCACGCCAAGTCCTGGGACCAATCAGCCGCTTACCTTCACACCACGTGGGCCTGGGTAGCCAATCAGACCTTGGGGACCGGACGGACCCTGCAATAGAGAGAGATTAGACCAATCACAGGGGAGAGTCGCTGGTGTCCCTGCTCCCTACGAGGAGGGGTTAGAATCACGGATGGGAGACATCACCCCACTGACCCGGGGGCTCTGACCCCAGCACGTTGGGGGACAGGGTCTTAGTACCTCACCCCAGCACCTGGGGGGCTGTGACGTGGCCGCCAAGGTCTGAAAGCGCTAGGACTGGGGGGAGGGGGGCTTGACCCCGGTGCCTGAGAGGCGAGGGGATATTGGGGTCTGGGGGGATGATGGGAAGGGGCAGGAGTGGACGTTATCCCCTTACCTGGTTACCTTTGGTTCCCGACGGACCTTCCTTCCCCGGATGCCCCTGAGAGGGAGGGAATGGGAAAGGGAGAAGCCAGAGAGGGATGAACCATTAACACCAGCACCAAAGCACTTAACTCCTGGGCGTTGCTCTGTCCCCCTGCCTGGGGAGCCACCCCAACATCCCCCCTCCGCTCCTGTGGCAAGGGCAGTGCCCCCTGCCTGTGACTCTTGAGGGTGGGGGTGTGGATAAGGGTTGGAGCAGTCAGGGTGCAGGTAGGGGGTAGGGTCCTAGGGGGCCAGTTAGGATGGGGGGAGGGTCTCAGGAGGGGGCAGTCAGGGGACAAGAGGCAGGGAGGCTTAGGTAGGGGGTGGAGTCCTGGGGGGCAGTTAGGGGCAGGGGTCCCAGGAGGGGGCAGTCAGGGGACAAGGAGCGGGGGGGAGGGTTGGGGGTTCTGAGGGGGGCGGGAAGTGGGAGGGGAGGGGGCGGGGCTAGGGCAGGGCTCCTCCCGTCCTCTTTTTTGCTTGCTGAAATATGGTAACCCTAAGCTGGGGTGAGCAGGTTACTCACGGGAGGCCCGTCGGACCCCGGCATGCCGGGGAGGCCAGGTTTGCCTCTGGGACCCTGCAGAGAGAGAGAAAAGTAGAGATCAGAGCAGGCAGAGCAGAGACCCCCGTTGTGTGACCCTGGCCCATGTGGGGGCTGCACAATACTGGGGGGGGGCAGGGTAGGTTCGGGGCACTCACCTTCTCTCCGGGGGGCCCCATAGCACCTTGTGGGCCAGGCAATCCCTGAAAGAGAGACACATGGTCAGATCCAGCCCCCACTGCCCACTCAGAGCCGGGGATAGAACCCAGGAGTCCTGGCTCCCAGCCCCCCTGCTCTAACCACTAGACCCCACTCCCCTCCCAGAGCAGGAACGGAATCCAGGAGTCCTGGCTCCCAGCCTCCCCGCCCCACTGGACCCCGTGTCCCCAGAGCTGGGCTGTTTCAGGGAAAGGGTTTTCCTTACCTGGGTGCCTGGAGTTCCCTGCTGACCTGGGGGGCCTGGCTCACCTTGCGGCCCCTGTAACAGTCAGACACAACTGGAGTTAGAACCAGAGCCACCCGTGTGTTATACAGAAGGGAGAGAGGGCACTGCTGTAGGGGAAGCTCACAACACTGGGATCACTGGATGGGGGCACTGCTGTAGGAGAAGCTCCCAGCACCGAGACCCCATCTGGGGGCACTGCTGTAGGGGAAGCTCGTAACACCCAAGTCCCCAGCTGGGGGCACTGCTGTAGGGGAAACTCGCAGCACCAGAGTCCCCGGCTGGGGGCACTGCAGTAGGGGAAGCTCACAGTGGCAGAGTCCCCGGCTGTGGGGCCCCTAAGGCATTTCCAACCCAGTCCATCGCAGGACCGGGCAGCGCAGACAGACAGACAGACAGCCATGCTGACTCACCAGGTTCCCTTTGGGCCCGATGGGACCATCTATGCCACGCACGCCCTGCGGAGGAGACAGACAGATGGACAGATGGAGGTTAGTGTGGTGGGGGTTATGGGGGCGGGGGGAATTGGGATGCCGTGCGTGGCACTTACCAGAGGCCCGGGGATCCCCGGTGGGCCTTTGGGTCCAAGCAAACCTCTGGGTCCCTGGAGGGAGGGGAGAGACCAGAGTTAGTGAGGCTGTGGGGACAAAGCTGGGCGTGAGTCCCCCCAACGGGGCTATGGGGGGAGCCAGCAATTGCCCCTCACACTACCCTCCCCCCCGCCCAGCAAACACCAGCACAGGTGTGCGCACGCACACAGACACAGACAGATGTGCACACACACACACACCTTGCACCAGCCAGCGCTCCCAGCACCACACTGAGCAAGCAACACACAAGCCCTGGAGCTGAGGACCCCATGAGGACGCTGCTCCGTGGTGCAGACCCTGCCCCTCTCCGATCCCAGACCCTGGGCCACGTGCTGGGGTGAAACCCCAGAGCATCCTGGGACATAGTGCTAAGCCCCCTCAGTTTCAGTGCAACGAGACTCCGCTGGCACCCGTATTAGGAGACGCTGGGCCCTTGTGGAGTCTGCCAGGGGCAGGCACAGGGGGACCCCACAGGCCAGATCCCCAGCTGGTTTCGCTCTGTCCCCAAGGCCTGGCCCCGGACGGCTCATCCGTCCACCCCGTGGGTAGCACCGGGCTAACCCCCAAACAGCTTCCGGGGGCTCGTCCAAAAGGGAACTGCTCTCGGGGAAGAGTTCCGGGCAACGGGGAATCGGGCACCACGTGGGAACGTTCGCTCCGCTCGGGCTGCCGATAAACCCAGGGTTTCAGAGAGTCCAGACGCTTGCATTTGTCCTGGGTTTTACTACCAAATGCGCCAGGAGAAAGGATTTTGGGGGGTTCTCATCCTCCCCCCACCCCCGGCTGTAGCTTTTCCAAACAATGTCAAATCTGTAAATGTAACAGAGGGGGGAAGGGACAGGAGAAAAGAGAAAACAAACCCAACCAAACCCCAACACCTGCCCTAACACCAACGCCTACTACAATCCCAACACCAACCCTAATACCAACTCCAACGTCCACCCCAACCCTAACAACAACCACAATCCTAATGCCAACTCCAACGCCAACTCTGAACCCCAACGCCAACCCTAACGCCAACGCCTACTCCAATCCCAACTCCAACCCTAATACCAACTCCAACACCCACCCCAACCCTAACTCCAACCACAATCCTAACACCAATGCCAAAGCCTACTCCAACGACAACTCCGAACCCCAACGCCTGCCCTAACACCAACTCCTATTCCAATCCCAGCGTCAACCCTAATCCCAACTCCAGCTCCAATCCCAACTCTAACACCAACAACAATCCTACCACCAATCCCAGTGCCAACCCTATCACCAACACTATCCCTAACACCAACTCCAACGTCAACGCCAACTCTAACACCAACTCCAGTCCCAACCAACCCTAATACCAACTGCGATCCCAATGCCAACTCCACCCCACCCCAATGTCAACTCCCACACTAAGCCTAATGCCAACCCTAACCCCAACCCTAGCACCAATTCCAAAGCCCATCTCAACCCTAACGCTAATGGCAGCCCCAATCCCAACACCTAGCCCAATCATAGTGCCAGCCCCAATCCCCTGCCTGGGACCCATTTTCCAAACCGATAGGTCAGAGTGTTCCCTGCACTAGTCGGCGCTCCCCTGTCCAGAGCTGGCTGCATTCCCATCCCACGTCTCCCCAGCAACAGGGCACTAGCACCCCCAGTTTTTGGCCTACCCCTAACGGCGTCTTCAGGGACCCAGGCTGGGATTTTCAAAAGGAGTCTAGGGCCCAATGTGGATCCCTTCCACGCCGTGCCAACCCTTGGCTAAATCCTGCCAATTTCAAATTCGCCCCCTCCACACTGCCAGCTCCTGGGGCACCAAGGAGTCCAGTCCAATACCAGGGGTGCCGGAGGCACAGAAGAGGGGGCAGTTTGGACACAGCTGGGAGCAGATGGAGGTTTGGGGGTAACCCATTAACTGGCTTGTTTCTGCTGAAGTGAGGGGGGTGAAGCAGTTAACGTTGGGCTTTGATTTTGCCATCAGTAGGTTCAATGGTTAATGGTGATTTTATGGAGAGGGGTTAACACAGGGGTGGGCAAAATATGACCCGCGGGCCACGTCCGACCCATCAGACCTTTTAATCCAGCCCTCGAGCTCCCGTTGGCGTGCGGGGTCAGGGGCTTGCCCCACTCCGCATGTGCCGTGGCTCTGCGTGGCTCCCGGACGCAGCGGCACGGCCCCCCTCCGGCTCCTACATGTAGGGGCAGCCAGGGGGTTCCTCATACTGCCCCCGCCCCAAACATCAGCTCTGCAGCTCCCATTGGCTGGGAACCGCAGCCAATGGGAGTTGTGGGGGCGGCACCTGCGGACGGGGCAGCACGCAGAGCCGCATGGCCGGTGCCGCGCCTCCACGTAGGAGCTGGAGGGGAGACATGCCGCTGCTTCTGGGAGCTGCTTGAGGTAAGTGCCGCCCGGAGCCTGCATCCCTGAGCCTCCCGCTGCGCCCCAGCCCTGATCCCCCTCCTGCCCTCCGAACCCCTCGGTCCCAGCCTGGAACCCCCTCCTGCACCCCAAACCCCTCATCCCCAGCCCCACCCCAGAGTCTGCACCCCCAGCCGGAGCCCTCACCCCCTCCTGCACCCCAACCCCCTGCCCCAGCCCAGAGCCCCCTCCCGCACCCTGAACTCCTCATTTCTGGCTCCACCCCAGAGTCCACACCCCCAGCCGGAGCCCTCACCCCCTCCCACACCTCAAGCTCCAATTTCGTGAGCATTCATGGCCCGCCATACAATTTCCATACCCAGATGTGGCCCTCGGGCCAGAAAGTTTGCCCACCCCTGGGTTAACAACACAGAGCTGAGAGCCAAGGGGTTGAGAATCAAGGCTCAGCTGGGGCAGTTGCCTGCCCTCAGAGCAGTGGTTTCAGGCCCTCTGCAGACTCAGGCAGGGCCAGAAAAGTGTGGATCATGGGGCCCAATTCCATGGAGTGGAGGGGGAGTAAATCCCGGGGGGGGCAGGGTAAATGGGGCCCCGATTATCCCTCTGCACCACCCTGGGGAGCTGCCCCCTCTCACACTGGCAGACTGGCAGGGAGGGGACGTACCGGTTCTCCAGGGAGCCCTCTGGGGCCGACCTCTCCATCGTCTCCCTGGGGGAAGAGAAAAAGGGGGTGAGGCAGAGAACGGGGAGGGGGAGCAAGCTCAGCTCCCCCCAGCCATCCCTGCTCCCCGTTTCCAGCTCCCTCTGCTCCCCCCACCTCCAGCCCCCTCCATCTCCCCATTCCCCCTCTCCCTGTTCCCCTCAGCTCTCCCACAGCTCCCTCCCCAGGGAGCCACCCCAGCTCCCCTCAGTCTCCCTCCCACCCCCCAGACCCTCCAATGAGCAGTTACTCACCCGCTGCCCGTCCTCACCAGGGGGGCCTGGGATGCCTTGGGAACCCGTCTCACCCTGCGGGGACAAAGCCGTGGATCAGCTGGGTGGGGAGCCATGGGGGCTGTGTACATGGGATGCGCAGGGGCTTTACGGGTGGCTGTGTGTGATGGGGGCACAGCTGCATGTGCCGTGGGGGTGAGTGTGACTGAGTATGTAATTGCAGGGCGGGGGGTGCATCGCAAATGTGCCGGATGTGTATGTGTTGTGCTGTGAACTGTGTGCAGCTGTGTTGTTGTGTGCATGTGTACAATTGCAGGTGTGCTGTGTGTACTATGTTTGTGTGACTGCACGTGTGTGGGGCTGTGTGTGAATGCAGTGGCTTTGTGTGTATTGTTGCGTATCTGAGTGTGTGCACAGATAGTTAGGAGAACGTTAGCGTGTGCGTGGTTGTGTCTATGTGACTGTGTGATTGCACACACCTGGCTGCACAAGTGGGAGGATGTGTATGTACTGCGCGGTGCGCTGTGTTTGTGGTGACACGGCTGTGGGGATGTGCGTGGTTGTGCGTGTGTAGTGTTCCGCCTGGCTGTGGCTGTGTGCGTTGCGCAGGGTGCGTAAGACTGTGAGTAGATTTTGAGGCCAGAAGGGCTCAGCTGCCCCTGTGTCGCTCCGGACGTCGGTCTGCCCCGAAACAAGCCCTGCTGGAACTAGACTGTGTATATCTGTGTGCGTAGATACGCTTGTGTGTGCTGGTAGGCGGCGTGTGACTGCGAAGGGGGGGCAGCGGCTCTGGCTGTGTGATGTACAGTTGTGTGTGTATCAATGCTCAGAGGGGGGTGCACAATTGTGTAGCACACACATGGGCTGGCCAGAACTGACCGCGGGGTCACCCCATCTCTCAGGGAGATCCCAACAGTGCACCAGGACTGTCCCCCCACCACCACCACCACGAGGCGCCCGGCCAACGTGACTCACCCTGTACCCCTTGTCCCCCGGCAGCCCCGGCAACCCGTCAAAGCCTCGGTCGCCCTGCGGAGAGAAGCACAGAACAGCTCCCTGAGCCAGCACGCCCCAGCTGGGGAGACGCCCCTGCAGGACCCCCTCCCAGCCAGGGCACCCCATCCCCGGGAGGTGGGCTGCAAATCCCCATTGGGAACGAGGGTGGGCCCCCGGGGATCCCTGTTCTGAAGCAGTGATGTTCCCACACGGAACGGGAGGGTCGCTGGTTGAGTTAGTGGGTCTCCAACGTGCTAGAGTGGATCTCTGGTGCACGAGGATCACCACGCTGCGTGGGTGGGTTACCAGGACAGTGCATCACCAGGAGATTCATGTACGCACTGAGTGGATCACTCACACAGCAAATGACTAGATCACTAATGGATCGTCATGCTGAATGAGTGAGTTACTAGAAGAGTGGATTACCCTTGGATTCATGCACACTCAGTGGATAACCAGCTCAGGTGATCTAGTGATCTTCAATGCCTTCACCTCATGAACTATTGATGGATTCGTAGGGGCAGTGACCTAGTGGATTACCAGCAACGCAACCTACTGGATCAACACTGCTACAGTCCAGTGGGTCACCAGAGCAGTGACCTACTGGATCATCCATGGATCTACAGTGCTGGGACCTAGTGGATCACCAGCCTATGGAGGCCAGCTCACACCCAGTGCCTTGTCCACGGAAGCCATGACCCCGTTACCTTAACGCCATGCTCCCCAGGCATCCCCCGAGCGCCGTCGGCTCCAGCACGACCCTGCCAGAGAGACACAGAGATGGGGTGAGAGGAGGCTCTCCGGGCACAGAACTGCCCCCACCCTGGGGTATCCCCGTCAGGATCCACACACTTACCCTCCTTCCAGGCTTCCCCGGGGGGCCAGACAGGCCCTGCGGCCCGCGGGGTCCCTACAGAGAGAGAGGGAGGGAAAGGGTGAGCAGAGCTTCCCCCACAAGCAGCATGGGGGGGAGAGAAGAGGGAGAAATGGGGGTGGGAGCTCTCCAGGGTCCGAGGGGCTAATGGGGATTCTGGGGGGTCAGATCAGGGTTAGGCTCCAGGGTGGGACGGGGCTCATGGGGTCAGACGGGGGGGTTCTTTCCTAGTGTCTGAAGGGTTAATGAGGGGTGGGGTGGCAGAGAGCGGTAACAAAGGGTAAACAGAGGGGCGGGCGGCAGCGACCCCGGCTCTGGGTCAGGGTTATAAGTCACAGGAGCCTGTGATCCAAACAGCCCAGAATAAATCCAGCGTCGAACCAGGGGTCAGAGGTCACTTGCCAGCGTCACGGGTTAGACATCAAGGTCAGGGGCCACTAATCGTGAGTTAGGGGCACAGAACAGAGGTGGGGGTCACGGGTCATTCACGCTGGTCGGGGCCAATGATTGGGAGCCAGGTTCAGAGACCAGGGTCATGGGCTGGAGAGAGAGGTCAGGGTGAAGGGGTCAGAGGTCAGTGACAGGGGTCATGTCCATGGGTTGGAGCAAGAGGTCAGGGCAGGAGCCAGGGGTCAGAGTCGGGGTCGTGCTGGGCTCCAACCCCCCCATCTCCTGCCAAGGCCAAGCCTGTTACCTGGGGTCCGAAGTCTCCGGCTTCCCCCTTCAGCCCGGAGCCCCCTGGCTGCCCCTGGAATGAGACAGCAGAGCAGAGGGGGTTACAGGGGGGCAGCACGTGGGCTCAGGGCCACAACCCTCCCCACAATCTCCCCAGGGTGCTGGGACCCACAGAACCCGGGGACGTGAAATTCCAGTGACACCAGCCCCCCGCCCTACCCCCTGCCCCACACCCCAGGGCACTGGGACCCACAGAACCTGGGGACGTGACATTCCAGTGACACCAGCCCCACAGCCCCACATGCCCAGAGCATGGGAAACACAAGGACATGAAGCCCTAGTGACTCCAGCACTCCGTGTCCCACCCCAGGGACAAGCCGACACGTCCCCCTAAGCCCTGACACCCACTCCCACATCCCCAAAGCACCAGCCATCAAGCGATGCCTCCTCCCAAGCCCGGCCCAGAGCAGGTACCTACCAGGGGCCCAGGCCGGCCGGTGTATCCCATGGGTCCTGGGGGGCCACGCAGGGCCATCTGGGGGGGAGAGAGGAGAAGGAGAATTAGACTGCAGCAAGCCAGGATCCCAGCCAAACACAGAATAAAGCAGGGAATAAGGGCTGGGACCAGAACAGGGCTGAACAGGAAACATGGGGATCCAGAAAATTACTGGGGCTTGGGGGGTAAGAATGGGGTCCTAGTTGGAGATCTAAGAGGGGAATAAAACATGAATTTATCAGCATCGATAGACTGGAGGGGAAACAGCGACACTCGGTGTTCTAGAAATGAAGCTACAGACTTACTGGGCTTTTAGGAAAAAGCACATTGTGATGTCAGCGGGGTTCTAGAAGGGGACAATCATGGTCCTAGAATTAGGGTTCTAGAGGGGTGACAAGTTGGGGCCTCATTGGAGTTCTAGAACAGGGGAAACTGTGATTTGCTCCGCACTCGGGAGGGTTAATAAGGTTTGAGGTTTGAAGGGAAGATAAATCAAATCACAGTTTTAAGGCAATGATCCATGATAGTCTTGGGGTTCTAGAAATGCAGTAAACTGTTTTGTGACACTTGTAAGGGTTCTAGGTGGGCATAGATTGTAACCCCCGCGGTTCCAGAGAGCAGTCGATTGTAATCTCGTCCTGGTTCTAGAAGGGCAGTACACTGAGATGTTGTTGAAGAGCTACTTAACCATAAGGTTATGAATGAACCTAGAAGGATAAGAAACGGGGATCTGCTGAGATTCTAGAAAGGTGACAAACCATTATCCTGCCATTCTAGAGTGGCAGTAAATTGTGACCTTGGGGAAGCTCTGGAAGGGCACTGACCACTATTTGGTATGGGATCTTAAAGAACAATAAAAGAGTGACCCTTAACATGGTTCTAGAAAGGTAATAAATTGTGATCCCACTGAGGCTCTAGAAAGGTGACAACCCATTGGTATCTGGGTTCTCGATTACCAAATTTATCAGGGCTCCAGGGAAGAGAATAAGGCAGGATCTTTTCCAGGCTCCTTGGATCCCCGACCCAGCCCAACTCTCCCTGCCCTGTCTCCATCTGGACTTACCCGGGCTTGCTGTAAGATGGCCTGCGCTTGTGCCTCTTGTGCTGACACCGCAGGCCCCTTGTCTCCACCGCTGCTCCCAAACCGGAACTGGGGGACAAACGACAAACCTTCAGCTGTGAAAATCACACTGCCGCCATCCCAGAACTGGGCTCCTGGGAGACATGCCCGGAGCCCTTCCTAGAGCTCCAGATCCCAAGGCCTGCTCTGTCCTTCACACTTCACAATGGGCGGAGGGGGGCAGATCACATTGCCAGAGTTCCCCTGGCCTGTTCTAGACTCCCAGAGATTTACTGCAACCTATCCAATTCCGGGCTGCATTCTTGGTATTCCCCCTTCTCGTCTAGACTCACACATATCCACTGCATGCTCTATGGTTCTAGGTAATACTACTAGAGTGCCCATTTCTGTTCCATACTCACATAAGCTCACTGTATATCCTTGCTAGTTTCAGGTAATGCTATCAGGGTTCACCCTTCTGTTCTAGACTCCCATAGACTCCCTGCATCATCTTTGGTTCTAGATAATGCTATTAGCACTAGCCTTTCGGTTCTCAACTCACTGTACTCTCCAGTTCTAGATCACGCTACGAGAGCTCTCCCTTCTATCCTAAATTCCCATATCCCTATTATATTATCTACATTTCTAGAGAACAGCACCAGAGTCCTCCTGTCCTGTTCTAGATTCCACGCAGGCCCATCCACTGTGCAATCTCCAGTTCTAGATCACAGGTTTTTCTTCTGATCTAGACCTAGACATCTTCTCTGGTTTTAGGTAATATTTGTAGAATCCATCTCATCTGTTACAGATTTATACTCTGACATTGTCACGGAGTGTGGGGGGACTCAGGGCCCTGCACCCCCGGCATCCTGCGATTCACCATGACTCTCAGCCAGCCAGTAAAGCAGAAGGTTTATTTAGACGACAGGAATACAGTCCAAGACAGGTCTTGCAGGCACAGACAACAGGACCCCCCTCAGTTAGGTCCATCTTGGGGTCCCCGGGCACCCTAGCCCCCCTGGGAGGTCAGAGCCCTGTCTGCCTCCCAGCCATGGTCACTAGCCAGCTTCTCCCACTCTGCCTTCAGCGACCCCTCCCACAGCCTTTGTTCAGTTTCCCGGGCAAAGGCGTCACCTCACCTCTCCCCCTTCCTGGGTTCTCATGTTACATGCTCAGGTATTCTCCCTTGGTCAGTCTCCCCTCCCCCCATGCAGACTATCCTAGCCACACTCCCCTGTCAGCATTCACAGACCACAGTAAGAACAGTCCCAGTTCGTCACAGACATACCTCTGTTTTAGGAGTTACTCTCTGGGTTCTACATTCAAATAGCCCCACTACATACTAACCAGGACTAGCTAAGAGAGTCAGCCTCCTCTCTCCCATATCTTAGATCCTCACAGATCCACTCTACAATCTTCAGTTCTAGATCACAGTACTAGAGTTCCCCCCTTTTTGTTTTAGACTCCAGCTGACCCACTGTATCCTCCCCAGTTCTAGGTAACACCATCTCTGTTCTCTCATCCCTTTTAAATCCCTACAGGTCCATCTATCCTCTCTGGTTCTAGGCCATACTATCAGAGTTCCTCTTGTTTTATTCTAGACCCTGCAGGCCCACAGTATAGTCTACGGAATTAGGTATCTGAGTTCTTGAGCCCCACAGACCCATTGTATCACCTACTAGTTCTGGATACTGCTAGCTGAATCCCCATGCCTGCCCTAGACTTCCACAGACACATCATATTGTCCCTAGTTCTAGGTAACACAATGAGAGTCTTCCCTGATTTATTCAAGACCCACAAACCCACATGATCCTTTCTGGTTCTAGATCACACAATTAATTCCCCTGGTTTTATTCTAGACCTGAGAGCCCCCACCTTCCATACACTTCCTTGGTCCAGCTCCCACAAGTATTTCTTCTAGTTTTATTCTAGATCCCACAGAGCCACCCCAGTTCTAGGTTACCCTATCAGCACCTTCACCTGCTGTTCTAGACCCTAATCAGCCTATGTTCGCCCATTCCATTCCAGACTGCAGCAGCCCCATCATTATCCATCAAACACCTCCTTACTCACAGGGAGCATGAGAGACGTGCCAGGAGGTCCAGGCGTCCCATCCGAGCCAGGGAGACCTGAACGGCCAGGAGGACCCTGTTGGAGAGAGAGGCAGAGCGGGAGGTTATTGCATTGGGGGGGGGTTCCGATCGTCCCCTCAGACAGTGCTGCTGCTGCCCCTGCCCTTCTCAGCACCCACAGCTCCCCCAGCGATGCGCCGATCTTCCCCCCACACAGTGCCAGTCTCATATTCTCCCAGCACCCTGACACACACTGACCCTTGCCGGGATCTCTGGTCTATCCCCAAACACCCCAGGCCATCGGCGCTGCGTATGCATACATGTGCACAATCACACACGCTAACGCATGCACACTCCCAGGCACTCACACGCACAGCGCCTTCTCCAGCCAAGGGGGCACAATGACATCCCACCCCAGCGCACACTCGCGCCTCCCCGTGCAAACACCCACTCACTCCTCCCTTGGAAGGGGGGCCGCGGTCTCCCCCAGAGCTGATGCTGGACCCACAACCCCTGCCATGGGGCCAGGTTCCAGCTCGCACTCACCCTCTCGCCAGGATCTCCTGTGGGTCCCGGGGGGCCCTGTGTGCCCGGCGGCCCCGATATGCCCTGAGGAAACACATGAGACACACACAGTGAGGTTAATGCACCAGCAGGGGGATCTGCCCCCAGCCCCAGAGCTTCCCCCAGAACTCCCCGGACAGACAGACAGACAGGCTCTTACCGCAGGTCCCTCAGGGCCGGGGGGGCCCTCCACCAGCATTCCCTGCAGAACAAGAGGCAGAGAACAGGGTTACGCCAGCAACAGGCCCGGGTGGGGCGAGGGCACAGCGGGCCGGGGGGGGGGGGAATAGAGCCCCCAGCTGAGGAGGCCTTGGGCAGACACGGCCCCGGCCATGAGGTGCCCTAGAGAGACTGGGGACTGCCCAGGTGAGTTTGAAAAGGGGGAGGATCTCCTGGCTCATCCACACCCCTCGCCCACTCCCCCCTTCAGGAGAGAGGGCCATGGACTGTGCACACACGACTGTGCACCCTCCCACGCACACAGACATATACTAACCCAAACATGCAAATACGGTGGCATGCATGCACCAGGGTGTGCAAATACACACACACACACGCCATGGTGCGTAACAGATGCACACGCATGGGAACTAACACCTACATGCAAACTAGATGTGCACACACAGGCACTCGCAAATACACATTTGCACACGCATACACAATTGTGCACAGGAACAGGTGCAAGCACTGACAGACAGATGCAAATGTGAATCTGCATGCAGGGGCCTGTGCAAACTCATGCACACACTCAGAGGCACATGCAACATATGTGCACACGCATGATTTTTCACACTTAAGGTGTGACAATACATATATGCTTGTTCACACAGGTGTGTGCAGACACGCACACATGTCCCATCCTGCCATGCGCACCCTGCCCCCCTGCATACATACACTCGTCTGTGCCTGATCATCACACTACAGATCACTACGTCCATCGCACACACACACCCCGGGGGGGCTCCAGGCCCAGGTGACCTGTGACGGGGCATGCAGGGCGCGCTGATCCCTGACTAGGGCAGGGGCTGAGACAGGACAGGAGGCGCTGGGGGGGCTCTGTCCCATGTACAGCAGGATATCCTGCATTGGGGGGGCTGCATGGGGTGGGGCACCCAGGGCCTGGACTATGCAGAGATGGGCAACGTCCAGGCACGAACAATGGAGGGGCTGGTGGGAGCAATTGGTCTCCCCCAACCCGTCGACGCAGGGACCTACCGGTTCCATGACGGCCGGCTCTCCCTTCTCTCCTTTGTAGCCTCTGACTCCGCGCACAGCCTGGGGGTAACACACATATAACCGCAAAGAGGGGCCCGGTCAATATAACGCACCCGAGGCCCCACTCTGGCACCCTCCCAGCCCTGCAAATCCCAGCTCCCACACCGGGAGGCAGGGCTCGTCCAGCACCACTCAGCCGCACCGCCCCAGGCTCTGTTAACGGAGGCTCCCTATCCCCCATGGTCTGAGGAAAAGTGAAGCAAAGTCTGAGTCAAAACTGGTGCAAGGGCTCAGTGAAAATGGAGCAGGGTCCAAGCGAGGTGCAAATAAAAGTGGAGCTCATCTCACTAAATTCGGAGTAAAATAGGAGTAAAGTTTGAGTAAAACTGGAGAAAGCTCTGAAAACGGAGCAGGATCTGTGTAAATGTGGAGTAAAGTCTGAGTAAAAATGGAGTACACATGGAGCAAAAATCTGCATTTAAATGGAGCAGGGTCTGAATAAAAGTGGAGTAAAGGTGAAGAAAATGCAAATCAGGGTCTATGTAAATGTGGAGTAAAGTCTGAGTGAAACTGGAGTAAGGTCTGCATTTCCGTGGAGCAGAGTCTGTGTAAATGTGGAGTAAAGTCTGAGTAAAGCTAGAGTAAACCTGGGGCAGGTTCTGTGTAAGGCCCCAGGATTTTGTCCCAACCCTTCAGTTACCCTCCTGGGACCTAGGCAGACACGGCTGCCGTTTCTCATTGGAGCCCATCCTCACCCCTAACAGCCCCCTTGGAGCCTCTGGGCCTGTTGAGTTAGGATGCTCTGTTAGCTCTGAGCTAATCAATGCATCGCGACCCACAGCGGCTCTGAACGGAAACGGAGGACAGGTTACATCACCAGGTGAAACACACCCCAGGGGAGGGGGTCATGGGGAGGAGACATTTAAAGGCCCACATCTGGAGATGCCCCTGGCCCTGAATCCCCAGCCCCATTGAGATGGCAGCGTGGGGGGAGGGGAATTACCGCACCCCTTTTGGGGGTTATCCCCCCAAATCGGTAATTGACACCAGCACTGACAATACTCAGGGAGGTGGGTGAATAACAGAGATGGCTGTACATGGGGATGACATCACAGGGCGTAAGATGACATCACAGAGTGGGGATGCCCTGGCGGGTTAGGGGCATTGCCAAGGCAGAGGATGTCATGGCTACAACATCCGGTGCAATGCCATCGGGGCATGACAGGCACATCTCTGAACATACGAGGTGGGGGAGAGGGTGCTGATGTCACTCTGAGCAAGAAGTGACCTCACAAGAGAGGAAGCGCATCACAGGAAATGGAATGGCGGAGGGAAAGTGACACAATGGTCAGTGAGGTGCAGGGAAGGACTGCCAAAGACAGGAAGCGACCACCACACTGGACAGGAAGTGAAGGCAGCGAACAGGAAGTGATGCCACACTGGACAGCCATGACCCCTACGATGCCAAGCAGGAAATGACCATGACACAACAGTAAATGCTGACAAGGAGGCAAGGATGCCACAAACAAGGAAGTGACACCACACAGGAAGTGACAACATGGCAAACAGCAATGACACCATGAAAAGCAGGAAGTGACACATCAACAAAAGGAATTAACACATCAGAAAGCGATATCACGGCAAATAGGAAGTGATGCCAGGACACACCAACAAATGGCCACAAACAGGAAGTGACACCACAACGATAACAACACAGAGCCATGAATGGGAAGTGACATCTCAACAAACAGGAAGTGACACCATGAGACACCAACACAGGACCACAAACAGGAAGTGACACCACAATAGGAAATGCCGCCAACAAAAGACCACAAACAGGAAGTGACACCACAACAAACAGGAAGCGACCGCCGAAAGACCATCCATGAGAGGCCAGCAGGAGGAAGGGCCCGAGGACACATCCCCCGTGCCCCACTTACGCCTCCATTCTGGGGGGTCTCTGCGGAGAGCACGGGCCCCAGCTCTGATGGCTCGGCTCCCTCGGGAAAGTCCTTATAGACATACTCGTACTCCTGCCCCGTCACAGCTGTGTCCTCCCCCGTCACGTACTCCTCCACAAGCACCTCGTCCTCACCCGGAGCGGCAGGGGGCGGGCTGGGAGCCTCCTGCCCCACGGGATGGGGGAGAAGGGGAGAATGAGAAGAAACCCAGCAACGCATTAATGCACAGCACGGCACCTACTGGGAGACAGGCTCAAGGAGATGTGCCAAAACTGGATCCACCAGACCTCCTTGACTCCCAGCCCCCTCTCTCCCGGCTCTAACCCATTAGACCCCATTCTCCGCCCAGAGATGGAAATAGAACCCAGGAGTCCTGACCCCCAGTCCCAAATCCTCAGTCCTTTCCCCACAGACCCCTATCTCTGCCCCCTGGAGCCTCTCCCCCAGGATCTCCATCTCTTCCATCGTGGGATCAGCACAGAGGCAGCTCTCGGGGGACCAGCCCTGAATTGCATGGGGAGGCTTTAAGGCCCCACCCCACTGAGACAGATAGTGGGGCTGTGGGAACTAGGGCGGAGCTAGACCTCGCCCTGGAGCCAGCTCAGCCCCCTGCTCCTTCCCATCCAGCCCCTTAGCCACCCCTCAGTCCAACCCCAGGGCGGTTACCTCAGCCCAGGGCTCCAAGGGGGAGGGGGGAGTCACCTCCAGCCCCATTGTCTCCTCCCAGTAGTCACCATCAGGGTCCTGGTCAGGGGGTAGGGTATAATCCAGGTACTCGCCAGCCCCCCAGGGCTCCTCTGTAGGGGACAGCCCCACATCCTGGGCGGGGGGGGGGGGGTTCAGGGGTCGCCAGGGCCAGGGGGGAACAGGGTTGGAACAGCAGTCATGGGAGCAGGGGAAGAAAGATGGATGGATGGATATGCAGATGGATGGATGGATGGATATGCATGAGGACAGATGGATAGATGAATGGATATGCACGTGAATGGATGGATGGATATGCATGAGGACAGATG